ATGCCCACTTTCATGACATCGTGTACAAAATAATTTACTTCGAGAGCTCGAAGAAGGGCCAGTAGAAGGTATGCAGTTTGACCTTGGTCTTCCGGCTTGCTTGGGATTAATAAGGCATTTGACAACCATCAAACTAGGTGTTGTAGTTAAGTCTCAAGTACTTGGACGCGCAATTGGCATGATTATGGGGTCGTAAAGTTTGCGCCATGTTGTGGTCTTGTAGTAGTCGTGCACATATCCATACACCGATTTGTTTGCCTTCCTAAAAAAATAATGGAACACAATATAACATTTTTTTATGTGTAACATAACATATGTATGTAAACGTTGAGGCTTTTAGTAAATAAAAAAAATGAAAAAATTACCCGATAGCCTTAATCGCATATGAACAGGGCAATAAATCCACCTGAAAGAGATAACAAGTGCAAGTCCGATCATTCAAATTGACGACAAAATTCTTGACCCCATCCTTCACGTGGTAAACGTAGTGATTGATATTTGAAGCTTCCATTTGGTCCGCTTCGGTTTTATAATCCATTAAACGCTTAGATATTGACGGAGGAACTTCACACTCAGTCTTTTCTGCCTCGACACGCCTTTTGTGAAACCACTCTTGCATAATGTTTCGAATACATTCAAACAATGAGCAAACAGGCAATTTCCTTGCCCAACGCAATCTATTGTTAAGCACCTCACAAGCATTTGACGTCATGAAACTATATCGTCTCATAGGACATTGACTTCGTGCCCATCTAGTTGGAATGGCTTCATCAATCAAAACCTTTTTTGTGTTAGGATATTTTGCCGCAAGCATAGCCATTGACTTCTCGTACACAACGGGAGAATAAGTGTATGAAGCTTTCATATATAAACTAACAGCTTTACACCCGTGACTTCGAATATTTTGTCGAAGGTGGTAGGAACATATGGCATGTACGGCTTCAGGGTAAACAACCTCCATAGCAGACTTTATGCCCTGATGGCGATCAGAAACAATCACTAAATTTTCCGGACATCCAAAAGTGGATCGAAGCTTTTGGAGAAACCACATCCACGCACTATGACATTCTTTATCGCCGATACCAAATGTCAAAGGAAAAATTTGCTCATTTCCGTCCTTTGTAGTTGCTACAAATAGGATGCCTTTATACTTACCCTTCAATTGCGTACCGTCAATCACAATAACGAGCCGACAATAACTGAGGAAGCCTGCAGACGCATGAAAAGAAATGAAAGCATACTCAAGCACGTCATCTTTATCGGTCTCAATGTATGCCGATGTTCCAGGATTTTCCTTCATCGACATATGAAAATACGCCGGCAAAAGTTCCCAGGACTTCTTGTGATCTCCATAAATGAAGTCGTATGCGGCGTTTTGAGACCTCAAAGCTGTATTGTAGTTGAGCTTAATGCCATGATCACGCTCCATGTCACCCATAATTTCTGCAGGCTTCAATACTCGGCCCTCTGTCAACAACTTCGGCGCGAATAATGCTCCAATGATCTTTGCAGGCAATTGTCGAGGGGCTGAATGACTCAGGTTAACCAAGCATGTATGTGGATGAATAAAGTTTGAAATTTTCCAACTACTTCCAGTCAGTGCATTCGCAGAAAGCAAGAATGGGCAGTTTTTATGCTTGCACACAACCTTTAACCGAGAATTTGAAGATCTAGGTGTTCGGTACTCCACTTTATGCTTCAAATGGTATAACCCAACTTTTACCAACAAATCTTCCTTACTTTGAATGACAAGGCCTTTGGCTAATTCACGGTCTATCATTGATGGCTCTTCAGACGAGGGATGAACATCAACATTGTGAAAAATGGCTTCGGGAATCCTCCAACCACTACTCGAACGAGTAGTAGTTTCATTCAAATTGTCTTCTTCAATAGCAACACCTCCAGAAAAATCAAGCTGAGGAACATTGTGGATTGATATACTCTTTTTGTTGCGTAGAGTATGCTCATTTAAACCACCCATCATGTTTGAGGGGGACACAACATTGTCTTCGCCATCTTCACCTTCTTCCGAGCCAAGCATATCATCTTCTTCAATAATGAAATCCGAATCGTCATTGCTATCATCCATCTCATTCAATAAATCGTCATTGCAAGGATTATCGTTGATGTTCATCTCATTATTGTAAGCATCACAATAATTCCCGTCATCATCACTTTCATCATTCCCAGTTGAATCCCCATTCAACCCGCTATCCACACCCCAATCGACATGTTCGGGAGATTGACGTGAGGCACCGGGTTGATTTGAGTCCATCTTTCTGGTGGTGTCGGGCACCGGGTTGTAATTGTTCGTCGGACAAGATGTTGATGGTTGACTATGTAAGTTCATTATAGGTGGATACACAACACCATATGGATAGAAAGGTGGGCCCTGAGCAGCAACTAAATTCATAAACCCACCTTGACCCCCGGTATAGCCATACGAAGGGTACGTTGGTACACTTGCCTGATTATACGGACCTGGACTATCTTTCGGTTGTAGTGTAACATAGATAGTAGGTATTGTGAACATGGAAGACACATTTCGCATATCTGCTTCACAAGAGATACACCATTTCTCCACCTCTCCATTATCACCGGCCACTAAAAAGTGAAATCGGTAGTCACACATGTTTCTATCTCCACGAGCAATGTCATGAACTCTGTTTATGAAAGCTTCATATGATGAGGTCCTAAGACAGAAAAAATTCATCTCTGTCTCACCATTTTTGTATACATCACCATCCCAAAAGCCACTGTGAACAATTCTCACTTTACCAACATCCATCTGAAAATAATAAATAAAAAAAAAACTTAGTACAAATAATTTCTTCACCTTTTTTTCCCTTCAAATGTGTTTGGACAAAAATATATATGAATACAAGACATTTTTTTTTTTTGGGACATATTTTCTTGTTCAAGAAACAGTTATTTCTTCAAGAAATAGTTTTTTTCGCGCAAGAAACGGTTTCTTGACAAGAAACTAACTTTTTCAGCAAGAAAATAGTTTCTTTAACAAGAAACTGGTTTCTTGTTCAAGAAACCCGTTTTTGCTCAAAAAACCAGTTTCTTGACCAACAAATTGAGGTTTTGTTCAAAAAATTGTTTTTTTGTTCAAGAAATTATTTATTCTTCAACAAACGATTAATTCATCTCCTAAACTCCAAAAAAAAAGGCTCAAGTAACAATACAACAAAAGTAATGAACTCCAAAACACAACCCCTTTTTTTAAAGCACAAAAATCATATTTTTTTCACTCCAAAAAAATGTGAGTTCAACAAAATAAAATGTTACTACACAAAAATCAATAATTTTGGGAACAAAAATAATGAATGTGTTCAAAAAAAAAAATTTATGTAACATAATCAAAAAAACAAAATTATGTTTATGATCATGTACTTTTTTTCTTCTCAAAAAAGGATTCACTTGGTAATCTTGGAGATATATCTGAAAAGAGATCACTTTTAAGTGATTTTTGGGATGAGATGAGATTTTTTTTTTTCTGTTTATAGCGGCTTTGCCGCAGAAGAATGGAGGAGAGAGAGATCGGCGTGCGTAATGTACAGAGCCCGAGAGACTCTTTTTTCTTTTTTTTTTTTAATTTGTTTGGTAAAACATTAATAAGGGCATAATGGTACTTTTGCCTACCAAAATGGCTAGATTTTATGTTTCTTACAAAGATGGCTATATTTCATCTACTACTTCAAAAAATTGCTATATATCTCGGGCTCTGATAATCTAAAAATTGAAAAACGAGACCATTGATAATTACGGGTGGTATCGGTTCTGTGACCGAACCGATAAGCATATACCGATACCGAACCGATAATGTCAGTAACCTTGAAATGCAAAACGATAGCGAATCGATTAAATTCGGTTACCGATTTTCGTAACCAAAAAAAAGAATGTTAGTGTTTAATTTTTTCATCATTTTGGTACTTCTTATCAATTAAATACACACAAAATACTCACAAATCCACTAAAGGATTAAAGACCTTAAATTTAATATAAATATATATTATATAATATATATATATAAGTTAGTTTATATATAACAAGATTCTAATTTTTTGTATTAAATGCAACTAATAAGAATCTATTGTTGAACATGCAAAAAATAAAATTTGTGATACAGCTTCAATTAATTTATCTAGTAACGGTGGTATGAGATTAGACTACAATAACGGTACCATCTTCCTTCAGAAAGAGTGAGACTAGTAAACTGACAATGTTCTGGTGAGAAGGTGAATGAGACGACGGGTAGTGATATTTTTCTCGTCAGTTTGGGGTTTAGGTGGGGTTGAGCCCTTATTTCAAAGTTTAAACACTAAACATTAAACAACTAATCCATGTTTTATTTTTTTTTTATTTACCATTGGGTTTGGTATCCATTACAAGCTATTCGGTACAGTTCGGTTTAATTCTGATCGGTTCAGTTCGATTCGATTTTGTTTTCAGTAAAAAATGTCAGCCCCAAAGTATTATAAAAGCCTGGCCCATCAATTCAAAATAATTCAATAAAATATTATTTCTCCCCATGTGGTCCATTTCATTGTGGAGCCCTATTTCAGTACCACACACTAAACATTAATCTTCTTACCATTATTTATCAAGAAAACAACAACCTCACTTGAACGGAGCACAAGAGTACCCACTGCACAACCCAGTCGTGCTGCTGTACGGGAACAACGAAACGGGCCGGACAGTCGGCAGCTCGGTCACGGGCCTCTCAAAATTCAAGTAGTCCACCACCTCCTCCATCGTTGGCCGCCCCTTGTTATCGTTTAACGTGCACATCAGCCCAACTTCCACGGCCCGTATCGCCTGATCCGGATTCACGACCGGGCCCATCCTCCGGTCCACGAGCGTCCCCTTCTTGTCCGACTCGTGCATGGCCCATGCGAGATCCAACAAGTCACGCTCACCCGGCGCGGAACCCATCCTGCCCCGGCCCGAAACCACCTCCAACACCAACACTCCAAACTCGAAAATATCCACCTTTTGGCTCACGAGCGACTCGAACCGAGTCGACTCGACCGTTGACAGGACGAACCCGAAATCCCCCAATAGGGCCCGAAAGCTTATGTCAAGGAACACGCTACTCGTTTTCACATTCTTGTGAGCCAAATCCTTCGAGTGAATGTAGCTCAACGACTCGGCTACGTCCTTAACCACCTTAAACCGTCTCGTCCAAGGCAAAACCCCGAACCCGAAAAGCCACTTGTCGAGACTTCCATTAGGGACAAAATCGTAAACTACGATCGTCTCCCCACGGTCGAAGCACCACCCTCGGATCGATACCAAATTTGGGTGTCGAATTTTCCCGAGCGCCTTCACTTCCTTAATCATCCTCCTCCTCATGTCCGAGTCACGGACCCCCGAAAACGGTCTGTGAAAACGCTTCACGGCCACGGTACTCCCATTTACTAAACTACCCTTAT